GTGCTTAAACGAATCCACTCACAGCCATTTAGCAATATCAGACATGGCTGTAAAATTAACAGAGCAACACAGCCAAGCCAGCGATCCAGCAACTGGCAACTGGCAACTTGGTAACTTGCAACTTGCAACCAGGGAACGGCCTCGAGTTCCATCCATGCAATTATTCCCTCTCCCTGCTGCAGTTGCAAAGCGTTAATGATGCACAAGGGGCAGGAGGTGGCTTGTAAAATGGCAGACTGGTTCTTCGGCGAACGGCCAGCAACCAGCCATTGCGTCTGCAGCATCCAGGCCCCAAAAAAAAAAAACTAAAAAATAAAAACACTTAGCAACACCCACTTTTGGGATCACGACCAGAGCTCGATGCAATGCGATTTTTAGTGTTCAGTGTGCAACGCTCTCCAGGCGAATTTCTGTTCAAGATTCTGACTGGAAACCATGAGCCAAGAACAGTGGTTTGGGGTCTTTTAAATAGGTAAATATTATACCAATAAATATGTATAAAATACCATTCAATTTTATAAAAATGTATCCAATATTATATATAATTTACAATGTAATTTTATTAACTTCCTTAATAGGCTGACTTTATATATGTAAGTATCTAGTTAGTACTAGAGAAGATCAACTTATCTAAAAATCTTTCTCAAGTCCCAAAAATATATATAAAAAAAGTACTTTCCTACAAGTTTCAAAATCTTTATCAAATTTTAAGCTTTTAATATCCTCAAAAACATTACAGTCCCCTGTAGTGTATGATTACCAACAAACCTCTTCTTGATGGAACCAGCGTCGAATAAACGGTTTGTATTGAGATTTAGGAAATTCTGACAGCCCACCCCAAGGAGATCGAAGGACCAGAACGAAGAGAATCCAATGAAATGGTAAACTGCAGACCACATGATCGAATATTGCACGATCGCATTAATTTATTAATTTAATGGCAAAAACGTTATGGCCAACCTGAGGATAAACTGAGGAATCACTGAGCCAAAAGATAGGGTCAACAAGGAGGAGGAAGAGGCAGAGAAAGAGGTGGGGGAGGCAATTTACCCAGGGGCGCACACACACGGGGCGTTTCTAACAATTTTATGCCAGATGAGCGCCTAAGTGATCGCGATCGGTCGCTTACCTGTTTGGACTCTGGAAGCCCCCAACCACCTGAAAAGGACAGCTTCCCATGGTCAGCCACCATCAAGCTCACAACATTGAAAGAAATATTAGGGGCTATTTAGTTTCTTGCTTTGTAAGGTTATTTCTTTAAAACAGAAATGCTATTATATTTTTAAAAGTGCATCCACTGCATCTACATCCACTGGCAGCCCATCCATCTGGGACCTGAGCGGCTGAGCAACGTGCGTCCACTTAAGCCACAGACAATCTTCATTATGGCCAAAACTGAGGGGCTTACACAGCTGCCAAGGCTGGAGGAACTCCAGCGCTTGCGATTGGAGAGATATAGAGCCATTCCTCAAGCACCGAGATCCCACTCCCACTCCCACTTTGCGGGCTCGCCAGGTGAGGTGTTTATTAAGGTGTAATGCAATTTTTCATATTTCATTTCGGTCGGTTTCGTTTCTGTTCGTTTCCTTTACTCTGGGGGCTTTGCTGGCGTGGGCGGAGCAACTGGAAAATTGCAATAATATGGCTTGTGTATCTTTCTTTCTCTTGGCCAAAAATACAGCAAATAAAATGGATGCACAATGCAGGCCACTGATCCAGGATCCAAGGAGCAGGAGCAGGAGCTGGAGCAATAGCAGCCCCCGGTGGGTGAGGGAGCAAAAAGTGTGGCAACATGTTTGAGGTTTTCGCTTTTCCGACATAAATAATGGCCATAAATTGAGCATGGCCGGAGCTAAAAATTCAGTATTTATAGCCAAATGATAAAAATAAGATTTATTAACATTTTGCTGCCCCTCGCCAACACCCGCTATCCCCCCTGTGCAAAAAAAAAATAGCGAGCCAACCATTGAGGCTTGGCAGGATGACCTGGTGGGGTGGCAACAAGCAGGAGGAGGAGTGGCTGGGGGCCGGGGAACCGGAGCCAACGCTGCGCGAGAACATCCGTTTTGCTTCGCCGTACGGATGATCCTGCAGTCTGTCTGTATCTTTTTGTCTATGTGAGTGTGTGGGTGTGCGGAATCACCCACACCTTCCTTCCTCCCCGCTTTTCCCGCGCAGAGGCTCCTGTGTGCAATTCAGAGGAAAAATTAACGCTTCGCTGGAACAGGGCAAGAAATGTAAGGCAGGACCCCAAATCCAGGCAACTAATTAGCTTTTAGTCTCATTGCAAATTCACAAGAAATCAGCGAATGAGGCTGAAATCACTGGAAAAAATGTATAAAAGAAGAAAAATGTATAAACTTCAGATTCAAAATTTTAAAATTCTTTAAAAAAATAATAATATGCACTTTGGATAACCATTACTTAACCCAATGAGTATAATCCTTTTATAAACTGCAGTAATTCTGTAATCCCAGTGAACAAAGAAGGCTTTGAATGAAAATTACATAAGGATCGTCCTGGCAATAGAACCTCATTAGCAGTGAGTCAGTGAAATGGAGAAAGAAAGGCATTTTTGTTCATTTCCAAATTCTCTCGCCTCTACCTCATTATACTTGCAATCCAAGATTCAGTATTTTAAAGGTGAAATGCATATTTCTATCGGGTGGCTGACTCCTCGATATTCCCATGCCAAATTTGGCAAATCGCAATTAGCGGAACCACCTCCTGCAGTGGGGCAGCAAACGAGCTCTGGCCCATAAGCCTGGCTTAAACTACATACAAAATACACCCATATGGCTGGGTCGTCTGTGAGTGCTCCAATAACGACAAAGCAGCCAAAGGAGCTGAAGGAGCAGTGAAGTGGAGACGCACACGCTGGCTGATTTTAATCAAATTCACAGCATTGTTTGCCTGTCAAGCAGCCAGCGGGGCGATTATCACAGGCGCAGGACGATCTCGGGCCCAGGCAAGGAGGAGTGGACAACAAGTCGAAGGCCTGTCCAATATATGTATATGTATATAATTTTTTCCTTTTTTTGTTACTTTTGCTGCTGGCGAATTCCGAGCGCATTTCATACGACACCACAGGCAATACCACAAACAAGAGCCATAAAGCTGCGCTGCCCCACATTCTTGGGCGACTGGCATGAAAGCGCGTGACCACAGCACCACCAAACTCCACACCACCACCACCACCACCATCACATCGCTATCCCCTAGCAGTCGCCAGGAAAACTCCACCCACCTTGGGTGCTTTTATTTTATTTTATACTTCTTTTTGTGCGCGCCTTTATCTTGTACAAGACTTTGCCAATATAAAACTCATGAATATCATTAAAAATCACGGCTGGCCGCTCATAAAATTATTGTAATAACAATAAATGCGCTGACATGCGATGTACAGATTTCAAAAATGCTAATTGAAGAGGGCTATAACTCAAATCCGGATTCCGGAACGGTAATGTTAACATTTACCTTAATTATAAAACACTTTTTAAGGATACGGAATTTTGCAAAATTCCTTGTTTTAATCTCACTATTAATCACAATGTTTCTTTGGGTGTTTTATTTAGTCATCATTCAGTAAGTTATTAAGACCCGAATGGATTACTCGAAACTGGAGCTCCTGGTTTAATTTTTCTATTATAACGTTGATGGTCCTGAGCCAGGACAACTGCCAAGAGGACAAACAAAATTGTGAACAAAGCTTGGATCTTCATTGTTCGGGCCCTCGATGCTGTCTGAATGATTACAGGTCTATTTATAACAAAATTGTTGACAAAATAAAAGCTTTTAAATTTTAAACTTGTGAATTGCATTATTTCTATAAAGGAAGTCATCTCTGCTTTTAAATTAATTAGCATATATGAAACAAAACACACCAATAATCTTCACAAAAAATCGTGTTCAGTCTTTGACGAAATATTGTTTAATACTATGAATAAACATTCTACCGAAGAGCTGCTTTATAAACAAAATTAAAACTACCTTTTAATGGGTTTGTGCGTCATTATCGATAAAATTAATAAACAAAGACTCATTTCAGTAAACAAAGAATCAAAAAATATTTATTTAAAATTTTCGTTAAGGAGTATTTAATATGTTCATGACATATGTTTAAAACTTTATAATATTAATTAATTAATCATATAAATATAATTAATCCATTTGAAAAATATTTTATATCAATGGATTATTTTCCTTTGATGGCTTTGAGGACAGAAGCACCAACAGGTTCGGGGGATCCTTGAACAACAGCCAAAATGGCCAGGATCAGGAAAGCTACCACAGCAAAGTACTTCATCGTTAAATTTTTGATGCTTCTAAAGCTTAATCAGCGTATTTATACCAATTGATTCTGACCAGTTTTAAAAGAAAGCTAAAATATTTAGAAAGATACAAAACAGAAAAGCAACTTTATACATCATAACATTGCAAGATTGTCTGAAGCCTGCGTAATCTTATTTTGCCAAATATCTGAACCTGTTTTTAAATATTTATATTCATAAGCAATAATTAGATAACAATACGTACTAAAAATTCAATCGTATTAAATTTTAGAAATACATTGAGTAAGCTTATATTAATAAATCAAAAACCGGATACCTTTTTTAATAGTATATTTGCGATCTAAACTGAGCACAGTTTACTAGTACAATTAGCAATAAATTTCTGTTCTTTAATTACGATCAGTATAATAGCGTATCAGCTGGACAAAGATTATGAATTTCAAGATTTAAATAATCAAGATAATCAAGCCCCACTCTGAAAATCTTTAATAACTTATAATTATTAAGAAGATATTTTGAATGAATTATTCTGTTGGCGCTTGGTCGGGCAAATTTTAAATTTTCGTGCTTTGCAACACTAAAAATAGAGGTAGAGTTGCCACAGAGTTTGATCCATGCTTTTTTAAAAGATCAGGTAAAATATAATTTTTAATTTGGAACGAAATTAATTTAAATTGTAATAAACAGCTTTCAAACTTGTTTTCTGTTCTATGGATAAATAAAAAAGTACGTTTTGAAACATTTATGTATTATCGATTTTGAGAAGCGCGATTCGGCCGATGTTTTGGTATCGATGTCACTCCACCTCTAATCTCTTTAGGAACTTCCACCACTAGTGTTTTTTGTTGATGGCGCAGTGGCTGCAGTTTTCTAGTTTTTAAGGTAAATATTCAGTAATAAGCATTATTTATTTGATTAAGAGTCGTAAAAATGGCCCCTATATGGCGGCAATGAAGCATAGAAAAAATGTAAGTCCAGATGTCTTGGAGAACACTCTGGAATGCAATCGGAGGGGAGTCCCTTCAAATCTGCTGTTTTCTTGGCCATTAACTAATGCGTCATCGCCAAACATACGGCTTTGTGCAATATTTTGTTGTGTAAATGTTTAGCCGGCACGCTTTTTAACAATGTGTGTGTGGCTCCAATATTTTTTTCGTTTGTTTGATTAGAAAGTCGGCAGCGGGCTAAGAAGAAGAAGAGCTGCGAGGAATTAAGCAGGGGACGCGGGGTGGAAGCAACAGTGGCAGCAGCAGATTTCACTGCCTCTGGATTTGCTTTGTTTCGCCGCCAGTCACACGACTTGCATCATTATACTGTGTAGTCCTTGTTTTCACGGGTATAATAGGCAAAATGATTAAAAAATCGTTTAAGAAAAATGTAAATTTTTATTGTTAAGCTTAGTTAAGAAAGTTTGGATAAATTTATTCTTTCAATTTAAAAAAAAATAGGTAACTCTTGGTATTGTGCCTGTATTATAAAGTATTTCATGATTTTGTGCAATTGCAGGCGCTCTCAACCACCATGGACTTCGCCAGCGTGCTCGGAAAGAGCGAGGCGCATCAGCGCACCGTTATCCATCTAGACATGGACTATTTCTACGCACAGGTGGAGGAGATTCGGGATCCTACGCTACGCGCCAAAGCCCTTGGTATCCAACAGAAAAATATTGTGGTCACCTGCAATTATGTTGCCCGAGCCAAAGGTGTCTCCAAACTGATGCTCATCGAGGAGGCTCAGCGCTTGTGCCCGGACTTGGTTCTAGTCAACGGTGAAGATCTAACGCCATATCGACAGATGTCGCAAAAGATCTTCGACTTGCTGCTGAACTACACACCGTTGGTGGAGAAGCTTGGCTTCGATGAGAACTTTATGGATGTGACGTCTCTGGTGGAACTGCGTCAAGCCCACAACGCTGAGGCGCAGCAGAAACCAGCTGTGGGTCATGTCTATCCTGAAGACGGTACTCCTTTGTCAGATTGTGTTTGTGGCTGTGCGCAGAGACTGGCTATTGGCTCCCGAATTGCTCAGGAAATCAGGGAGGAACTTAAGCTTCGTCTGGGCATCACTTGCTGTGCTGGGATCTCTTACAACAAACTCCTAGCGAAGCTCGTCGGCAGCAGCCACAAACCTAATCAACAAACTGTCCTCGTTTCAACCTACGCCGAACAATTTATGCGGGAACTGGGAGATCTAAAGCGAGTTACGGGAATAGGTCAGAAAACGCAATGTTTGCTTCTGGAGGCCGGGATGTCGACGGTGGAGCAACTACAGCAGTGTGATATGGATGTGATGCGAAAGAAGTTTGGATTTGAAACTGCCACTAGGCTAAGAGATCTAGCCTTTGGTCGGGACACGGGCTTGGTGCGTCCAACTGGGAAGCCAAAGACAATCGGCATGGAGGACTCTTGCAAGCCCATTTCTGTCCGGACCGACGTTGAGGAGAGGTTCCGAATGCTGCTGAAGCGATTAGTTGAGCAGGTAAATAATAAACTAATGCTTATATATTAGGATTTTTTTTATAAAAAATCGTGTTTATTAGGTTTCAGAGGACGGTCGCATTCCCATATCCATCAAAGTGGTCTTACGCAAGTTCGACTCCCAGAAGAAAAGCAGTCATCGCGAAACTAAACAAGCCAACATCCTACCTTCACTCTTTAAAACGTCCGTTTGTCCAGGAGAAACGGGAGTGAGCAAAGTTCAGCTAGCGGACGGAGCACAGGAGAAACTTCTTAAAATTGTCATGCGCCTATTTGAGCGAATTGTGGATCTAAGCAAGCCGTTTAATATCACCCTGCTCGGACTGGCCTTTTCCAAGTTCCAGGAACGGAAAGTTGGCTCCTCATCCATCGCCAATTTTCTCATCAAGAAGGCGGATCTAGAGGTCCAATCTATAACATCGCTGACAAATACAAGTCTCACGAGTCCCACGGCCGAGAGTCCGACTTCGGATGAATGCGCCTTTCGATCCTCGCCAACGACTTTCAAGCCGAGCGATCAGTTTCACAGGCGACGAGCCACCACGGCATCGCCGGTACCGATGATGATGGATAATGGATCGGAATCGGCGGCCACTAATTCGGATTTCAGCGATTTCTCAGAGACGGAGGTGGAACCATCCCCGAAAAAGAGTCGCGTTGGCCGATTACTGGTGTCCAAGCGCAGCCGGTTGGCGGCGGATGTCGGGGATAATGCCGCCGATGTCGCCTCGCCCAGCAAGCTGCGCGTCTGTGATCTGCGTTTAAATTCGCGGGACAGTGAAAAGGACTTTCCCATGAGCACAACGCCCACAGCTTCCACATCAGCGGCGGCTCCTCGCTTCCGCACCGTCCAGCCACCGAATACGCTAATGCAGCGGATCGACGGCAGCCTTCGCTTTTTGTCCACGCGCACTACCAGCCGCCTTAGCTCAAACGCCAGCTCTACTGCCTCCTCGCCACTGCCCTCGCCCATGGACGACTCTGCAATGAGCGCGCCAAGTACTCCGACAACCACCTTTGCTTCGCCTATGCCCGCTATGGTCACCACCAACACCACCACCAGCCTCACAGACATCGCCTGTCCCAGTGGCGTGGATGCGGAGGTCTTCAAAGAACTACCCGTCGAGTTGCAAACGGAGCTAATCGCCTCGTGGCGTACCTCTTTGGTGGCGGCAGTGGAGCAGACCAACGGCAGCGAACGAAGGGGCACTGGTGCCGCGCCAGCTACAGCTACCACCGCCACCGCCAGTGGGGGCCAGAAAAATACATTGTACCGTTACTTTCTGCGAAACAAGTGATGCAGTGCATCATCTATTGGGAGGCAAGACCATTACATCACCTATAGATCTAAGGCCAAAGTGAATAAATCGGTTTATATATCCATATTCTATATTTTTGTAGGTATACGGTTACAAACTACATATATGCTCGAGGTCGCTGCTTTAGACCATCATAAGATAAGAGGCGTAAGGTTAGGTCGATTCACAAAGACTTGAGATCAATTTTAATAGGATATAGACTTCAGGATATCATTCAGAAAGAAATGTAGTGCAAAATGCAACATTTTTTTTAACATTTAACTGCCTAATATATTTCATAAATTATTATTCCAAGAGAACCATACATTACACATTTTATTTTAAAAGGTTTGTGAGAAATAGTTTATTGAAATAATCGACGCAGCTCACAGAAATAACAAGTTCAAATACTCAAAGCGTCAGTTTGGTTTTAAAATTTTTAAAATATTTTTTATGTACATATATTTTGCGTATTTTTCGAGTAAGTGCTTTTGGTGCTAATGTCCAAGCAGCGTAGTTGAAGACACAGGTAGTGTTGAAATATATTTATTACACTTCATTTTGTATACTCCATCATACATATTCACATATTCAATTGGTTGGGTTACCTACTTATGGATAAGTTAATACAGAATACATCCCATTCCCCGGACATCTCTCACAACAAAAGGAACAGAACCTCAGCTAATTGAGCTCGACTTGATACAAGTTTTAGTTTTTACCTCTCAATGGCAACGAAAGTTAAACAGTATAAAATATATGTGGTCTTATGCTAACGATGATACAATAAAGTTAAGTCCTTAGTTTAGCAAATGCCTGTGTGTTGCTTTAAAATTATGCATAAGAATTGGCAATGGATATACTAGTGGCTCAGCCAGCCGCACTTGATGAAGAACTTGCGCAGCGATGTCTCCATGGGACTGCCCAGCGACGGAGCTCCGCTCAGGCAAACGGTCTTTAGAGAAAGGTACGTGGTTGGTGTAATGTTGTGCTTCTTGCAAACATCCAGCTCGTTGTGACTAAGAAGATTGCTGCCGAGAGGCTGCGGCAGGTGTTTCAGATCATCCAGCTGCTGGCGAAGCTTCAGACTCATACTGGGTTCACTGTTTCCTCCGACGACCTCGTTTGGCAGTTGATTTTTTTGCACGAGCTGGGAGTTTTGATTCTGGTGGTGGTGCAGCAGCAGGTGGCTTCCCTTCGCCGAGTTCGTCGGCAGATTCGCCTGCGCTGAGGTCGTCATACCCGCGGAAATCGCTCCCGTCGTCGCTCCCTGGCTGCTCGAGTCCAGTATCCCCATTCCCACTCCCTGTCCCATCCCGGTCGTCGGCAGCATCGTTGTCGTAGCTGCCGACAATGTCCGACAGCTATCCGAGTAACTTCTGTTGGGCAATAATCCTCCGGAGCAGGTCGGGTCGGCGGTGTGGAGCATGTTTCTTGGTGCGATTGAACTTGAACTTGCCTCGACGCCGCTTGACAGTTCGCTGTAGAAGAGTGGAGATCACCAATTAAACACTAGGATGGTTGAGAAAGATGCTGAAAGTACTTACACCTTTTTGAGATTCGGTAGAGGGGAGTGCAAGGAAGAGCTTGGCGGCCGATGACTTCCATTGGAGGGCTGCGTGTGGTCCTGTGGTTAAACATTGTCTTATACAACCGTTCAAGCGCTCGCTGTTGGGCGCGTTGATAATACAGAGGAGCTGAATATCGTGAGACAAGACGGGAAAGCGATTGTAAGAGATGTTAAGGTCAGGAAGAGCAAAAGGCAGCACACACGATATTCAACTCGTCATGCATTCTCATTAAACGAAGTAGGCACCTCGAGTATATTGACGAACGATAACTAACCTCCAGTCTATGCATTCGAACTTCATATTTTAACACAAGGTACTATATGAGGCTTAATTTATAAAAACTATAATATACTTAGGATAAAAAAATCGATTTTAAAAAGTCCGAAAGCATAGGAAAAGGCATTGTCTTCGTTTTCATTACCCGCGAGGTGGTGCCCCACACTTACAGTCTTTCCATGGCCATAGGGCCCTGTAGAGCGATGAGTGGCCATTGCCGCATGTTGCTCGAAATGAACGCACTCATCGATCTTGGTCAGGCCGTTATAGCGGTATCTGTACAGCTCCGCTTGCCGGATGCGCAACTCCTTCTCGCGCTCCAGCGATCCTAGCAGGCGCTCGTACTCATTGCAGGTGTAGAACTGTGCGTAAACCCGGAAACGGTCCCGGAACTCTCGCTGCTCTTTGGTTAGTCCTTGATGCAGAGCATAGTTGCGGTTGCGGAAAAAGTTCGAGACCAGTTGGTAATCTCTTACCTAGGGAGGTACACAAAAAGGCATTCAGAAAATAAAGCTACAGACGAATCCTAAGCACAACATTATAGAACATCCCTAGACACGGATATTAAATTCTGATTGTGGAAACCTTACCATTCTTTTCCGGCGAGCTCGTTCTCGAAGCCTCCTGGTATAGATATCCACGTGCGCCAGCTTAAGCATCACATCCACTTCCGTGTCCTCCGAACTCAGAGTGATGTTCGAAATAAGCTGCTCTGCCGTGGGATCGTACTCCCTTTCGAAGCTATCTCGGTTGGGCATATAGCCCAGCTGCATAGCTTCATCCGTGTTGATATCAAGTGGCGGAAGACTAGCCAGAGCACTAGTGCCCAGGGGACCGGCATCATCGTCTCCGGTGTGATCGATGAGGCGGGGTCTTTGACTCTGGGCCGGCGTCCAGGTGGCTCTACCAATCGTTCCATTGACGAACTTGTTCACATACTCCTCTTTGGCATCCTCCGCGGATTTGGTCTCAATGTGCTTCGAAATGTCCTCCCAGTTGCCAAAGCCATACTGCTCGATGGCATCCAACAGGCGGATCTCCTCCCTAGCCGTCCACGCCCCTTTGCCTCTGAAGACACTGAGAATGGAGGTGCCCGTATCCATGAACTGGTAGGCATGGTTGTTCTGATGGGCTCCGATTTCTGCTCCTGCCGCAAAGCACTGCGTAAATAAAAAAATTTCAACGTAAAAACAATGTCAGCTGTTGTTTATCAACATGGTGAAATCGCCGGCTATAATATATATTTCAGATGAGTCAGTTTTGGTTCCAGATTAGCGACGCATCTCTGGGCTGTACCGCTAGGGTGGCACTAATTTATTGAACACAAATATTGCTAGCCCATATTAAAATACGCTTCTATTAAATGTAAGACAGCAATTCAAATTTATATTTTACATTGAATTTTTTATAAATTTTTATATTTTTTAAAAAATAGAACAAACTTGTTTACCCACTTAGGGGTGGACTTTGCCAATTCTTCATTTGTTTAACAAAGAAATGAAAAATTAGAGTCACCCTAATGCAAATGTACTATGGCTTTACGTGTAATTACTTACTTGCAAGCATAGATCGAAATTTTCACACTCTGCACAGTGCACTCTGATGCCCAGGATATCGTCCTGACAATTTGTGCAATTGTACTTTGTAAATAGATCCGCAATTGTGGTCATTTTGGAATTTTTTCCACAAAAATGAATTGTGCGAAAAAACTCGACTATGCCAACAATGTGACCGCTCGCAGACAGAACGCCATGTTTTTTTCTGAGTGGTGAACTAGTGGTTCATGTAAAGTTCAGTGGTTCATGTAAAATGTCAAGTAGATTCTAAACTAAAAGAGAGCGCCCAAATTTGAATGCGCCTAACTGATTAAATAAATTAGGCTAAGTATTAATATTGGCCATATTTAAACGTCGTTTTAAAATTTACAAATATACCAGCGAGTATCCAAAAAGAAAACACAGAGTTTTTCATTCGTTATATATTGATAGTAGTTTATTCAATAATTCCAAAAGTTTAAATCGAATGTTTTATCTTTTTATTTGATTTTTACGCTAATATCACAAAAATAATATATAAAACTTAAAATAAAAATTGGTAATATAAAACCGAAACCAAATAAACATAAATACATTTATATGTGATGTATCTTTTTGTGCTTAGGCTAAATAAATATGAAAATAAGGGTGTGGTAAAAATGCAAAATATTAAAAAATTAACGGTGGTCGGGGGTCAGGGATATTAAATAATTTAAATTAAAACTTAAACTAAAATATAAAAAGCATCGTAATTATAAAACCTATTCTCTTGTCTCAAACAAAATGTGAGAAATTCAAAGCTGCCGAATATATCGCAAAGGCTTAAATCTAAATTAATTGGGCGTGTGTTCACAATTTAAGGATCCTTTCTGGCTACTCTATATAAATAGTGATTATTCGATTATTTCGTACGTGTGTATATATGTTAAATACGTTTAGATTATTGTTATTAATTCTGCCTTACTCCGAGCAGTAGCCGATTCCTAGTGGGTTCCAGATATATTTATGTCAGTGGGCGGTGAGGACTAGTTTGTGTTGCAAGTGGTGGCTTTGGTGGCATATTTGTTGCTGGACTACTGTTGCTAGTTTACTTGGACCAGTGGAAAACAAAAATCGAGTTACATATTACAATATCAAGAGGGTTAACAAATCTTAAACAGATATGGCAAGGTTCTTGTGCACACGGCCAACAAAATTCATAAATTCGAATACCTAAATAATGATATTTGAGCGCCAAATTCGGGTTAAACGCAAGTCGCACCTGCTGCTGTGTCTTTTTTTTCAATACTTGATGAAAACTAGGTTAATTCCAATAGAAAACAACATTTTAAATATACAATTTGTTAAATCCTAGGGAAACGATCAACTTATTCCTAAGAATTTTAAGGAAATATAACAATACTGTTTACGGACATTTGAGACATTTCCAGTTTTGAGATTCACAGATACGGTTCGTTTTGATTCGAATTCGCTTGCGTAAGGAACTGAGGAGTTGTCACAGCGCAGGCGCGACTCCAGTCGTCATAAATCGGATCGTTCTACGATTTGGAGTCTTTTAGATTCCGTTTCCAGAATCCAGACTCATAAGCAGGCGACCGCTCGGCTCTCAAATATTGTATAAGCAAGTAGTCCTAAAGCATAACTATCAACTAATTTGGTATGTAAAGTCTTTGTGTCTTTTTTGGGGCGAGGGAACGCGAGATGAGCGGGACACATTTGGTCCACTAGCAACAGTAGAGACAGCAGCAGCATCACAAATTCCTGACCATACTCACTCAAGGGATATGAAAATGAATACCGATTCGTATTCGAATACGGTTTTGGATTTGGAAACTCTACTCTCGGTCTTTCTTGTTCTCGTTCTCGTTCCTCGCCTTTGCATTGTGGGGAAGCATCTAAACGTTGGCTAAGCTGGGCGGGGATCACTGGCGAAGGGTGGTGAAGGAGGGATGGATAACTCCTGGCCGCGGTGGTCACTCTAAAGGTATGCAATTCATTGCATAATATTCTCGGGTGCTCGGGTAGGGGTACAGTGGATCTGTAGATCGGTGTCATAGGTGCGGTTAAGTTATTCGGGTGTAGATTATTCTGCTTTTTGATAAAATACTTAAAGAGGCTCCTGCCCCTCTTTAGTTACGGTAGAATCTGCTTCTTGGGTTTTTTTAACTCAGCGTCTTCGTCGCGCTTAATCTCGGTGTATCGTTCGCCCTTCAAGGATACAATTTTATTGTCCCGGTAACGGACCAGCTTCCGCGGTTCCATTTTCGGTACCACCGGCTTGTACTCGCGTTGTGTGGCATTTTTGTCAACATATGAGTACCTTAAAGTATGAGATGATTGTTAAACAAATACATCCTTTTATAAAAGATAAACGCAATCTTATATTTGATCTCACCTTGCAATTATACGATTCTTGAGTTCATTATCGTCTACCACCACATTTTTCTTGATATATCCAGTGGTGGACTTGTCAGTTAGACTCTGGTTGGTCTCCTGTCGATGTAAAAGGATCTGGGTGGCGCTATCGATGTCTCCCTTTGAAATAGCGATGCAGTGCTTAATCTGCGAAAGTTTTTAGCAATGAAATATACTTGGGTAAAAATATAAATATTGTTTACCTCAACGTAAGCTGTGTCGGGAAACATTTCCTGCAACACCTCAGCCTCGTCCAAGAAGTAATCGCAAGTTGAGCTGGAGCTGTCAGTGGAGCTTCCATCACTGGTCTCCGACAAATGCTGAGAACGCTTTCCACCTCCACTGCCGCTGCTGCTGCTATTTGAGGAAAGTTCGTCCTTTTCAGAAGTTGAAGAGTTTCTGGCACGGAGTTTCGACTCCGGAATAATGCTCGAGAGGCTCAGTGAACTGGAACAAAATAAGAAATATTAAATAATATTTGAAATATTCCCCTTTGAAATGAAAAAATATTCTTTCTAAAGGCATAAAGCATAAAAAACATAAGTACATACTTATAATAAAGATTAACTTATTTTGTACAATTTTTCTTGAATAAAACCGCTAGTAAAACCCACTTGAGTGACAGGCTTATAGCGTCGTGGTTTCCTTGGTTCTTCTCCATCTCTGTGAGCTCGCTAGCCAGCTTGTAGATCCACTCGCAGATGACGCCCTGGTCAATGGTGGAGATCTCTTCGAAATAGGCGCCCATCATCTCAACAAATCCCTCGACATCAAAACATGGATCCTGGGAGGCCTCCTCCAAAATAGAAATGATGTACGACAGAACAATTTCATCGACCACGCTGAAATCGGCCCCCGGAATATGGCCACTGATGAACTGCACCAGGCTCCCCTTGACCATTTCGTGCTGCTTCTCCAGGTTGGTCATTTTAAGTATATTGGTATATTAGTTCTCGAAGTATCTTTTTGATGGAATTGGCGAACAACTGGCTCTCCCAAATTAAGCTGCACAAAACTCTGGAATTCAATAAATGGGGCTTTCCCCGGGCTTTCAATTATCTTTCCGTGGACTCTGCAAATAAAATTCCGGCTTAGTTCGCGAAAAAATCGATTTTAAACAGTTTCGGTTTGGGAGCTGCGCCTTTCTTTTGCTTTTTCGCTGTTTCTATATATTTATATGTTTATATCGGACTATCGATATTTGCCCAAAATAATAATCGTTAAATTGTTTCGCTAATAACACTATTTTTTTGTTTGGATTTGCAGCACTGTTTATCGAGCTTTGCAACACTGAAGAGGGGTTCCCCTCTTAGTGTGGCGCGAAAAATACTGATGTTATTCCATTTTTGTTTAATTTTGTTTTAAAAAAAATCACTTCGGCTAATATTTATTCCGAAAAAAAATGCCTAGGCTTGCAGTGTGCTTTTACAAACTGTCCAAGACCGTCAATAGTCAACTTCCTTTCAAGCTTAAAAAGAATTTGGGGAGGGAAGTCTTCCTTTCAAAGCTTCCTATAAATGATTGTAAACTAAATAATGATTTAACATTTTTTCTGAAACAATGTTGGGTTTAATTTGAGTTTTAACAATGTACGCCGTATTTTTCTTCAAAAGCTTTATTTCTATTGTAAGTATTTTTTTTTTTTTACATTTTTGTAGCATTTTTTGCTAGTTTAATAACATTTTTATACAGTATTTTATTGAAAACTTCGTTAATGTTTCCCAAATACATTTGGTTCCGATGAACCTCCTACTGCAGCAACATTTAGTTCGTCGAGAAGTTCATTCGACTGGCGTCGATTTGGCTTAGTATTCGTATAAACCATGTTCTCGTTTTCATTGTTGTTGGGTCTGGAATGTGAGTTGGTATCCCCAGAATCGGTGTCCATCCGGTTTAAATTTAACTCCACTCTTGGAACACAATTACGACTTAGCAAAGACCGCTGGAGCTGCGTCAAGCAACTAAAATCATATTATATTAAAATATATATATTAAAATAATATATATAAATAATATCTCTTAAAAATGTATTCAATAAATCCTTTGGAGCTTACCGCTCGAGCCTGCGATCGCTGCTCCAATCTTGTAAATCATAGAGATCCGAAAAACTGAGCTCGTTGCTCCGATGAAGATGCCCGTTGTTCAGAAGGGGGGAACCAGTATTAAGAGCTCGTTTTCCATTTGTCCAGCCCCTGGAATACTGAAACGTCTGACCCATGCAGGCCATGGACAGGGTAAACAGGAAGAGCGGGAGCAGGAGGAGACGCAACATGGTCCCGATTGCGGATAAGGGATCCCGGTACAGAACTATCCGGAAACGGAAAGGCTTAGAACTGTTCCGCTCTGTATAAAATGCCAGCAACTTCTGAGCATCGGATGATTTTGCAGAGCTTTTATACCAATTTGGATGCCCAGGATGCGTAATGTCTTCGAGCCTGTCTCTGTGCTGGAATGCCCCCGGGAACACACACTTACGCAGATTAACCGGGATTATTAGCACCCAATTGTTTCAAGGTGGCTGTTAGTTCCCACATACAGCCACGCCCACTCTCTCGCAAAGGAGCCAGATGGCTGCTCAAACTGAATGCATTTACTGATTGAAAAACTACCAGTATACTGACGCAAAGGGGTAGATGAAAGTAAAAGGCTTTTGCAAAAACAAAAAAAAAGTGAACAGAGCCGAAAAAAATAATTTACGACCATTGCCAGAGGGTTTGATGTGTCCAGATTGACCTTTAATCTTGTATTTCAGGATTTACCAAAAATAAACATTGCAAAAATAGAATTTTTTATATACATTTGTATGTATGTATATGTATGTACATAGGTACTTATATAGCAAAATAATACATAGCAATACATACTTACATTTTAAGATAAATTAAGTCATACACAAGAAAAAGAAAATTGATCTTTAAAAGCCTTAAAAATCTTCCAGTACAAAAATTTAATTTAAGTGTAATATAATATTTTGCTACCAAGTTGATGTTTTTGTTTAACAATCCGAGGGCATCAGGAACAGGGCTTTATTAAACCTACTTATGGTCCTACTACAATGGTCCTTAAAATGATTTAATAGACTGGTTTTTGTATTCTAAAGTTATTTGATGTTAATTAGGAACCTCGTAAAACTTGACTTATTTGTCAATTCTCGTCTTTGTCAATTTTCATCTATACACAAAGTAAACTTTAAAACTACACCCAGTAAAAATACCTTTATTTACATACATAAAATATATTTATTTGAAATATAAAACTGGAAATATTAAAATTTGAATATTGTATTTGAAATAAAACATCGATACATTTTTCAAAATGTTTATTTATTTGCAAAAACATAGGGTTTCGTTTTTAAATGTAGTATACAACTTTTCACAATTTTTGTTAAGCTTTTATAGTTTTAATAAAAATATAATAATATCAATTTATGTTAATATCGCTGTGGGTTTCCATATCTACTGTTTCTCATAGACGTTGGCTTCAGGTAGAGTTCTTCCAATTGTTTTTAATTCTTCGAAAGTTTGGTAATTCCGAATCGGGTTGGTAATTGAGTAAAGAACATTGTCGATATTATTGTTTTTGGGGCTGGATTTCAAGTTAATATCACCAGGCCTGGTGTCCACATGGTTCAAGCTCCACTCCACTTCAGGGTTCCGATTAATCAGAGACATTTGAAGCTGCGTCAGACATCTTAAATAAACCATAAATATTATTAATTATCTGAAATAAACAAGCAACAAATATTATTTACTTTTCTAGCCTGAGATCGTTCTTCCCATCTGGCACATGGCGGAGATCGGTAAACCCAAATTCGTTGCTCCGATGGATGTATCCATTTGCCATCAGTGAAGGCACAGATTGCAGAGCCCGCTTTCCATTGGTCCAACCCCTGGAGTACTGAAACGTCTGACCCAAGCATGCCACGGATAGGCTGAACAGGAAGAGCAGAAGCAAAAGGAGACGCATTATGGTTCCGGTTCTGGATAGTGTATCCCAACACAGAACACTTCAGGAATGAATGGTTTAGCACTGTCCTGGTCAAAATTTCAGCAACTTCTGAGCATCTGTTTCTCCAGCACTGCTTTTATATTAATGTGGATACCAAAGATGCGTGATGTCTTGGATCCTGTGTCTGTGCTGGGATGCTCCCGGCAACACACTCACGCAGATTACCCGGGATTATTAGCACCCGATTGTTTCAAGGCAGTTGTTGCCACCCACAAACAATTACCGCCCACTCCCGCCAAAGGAGCCAGCTGGCTGCTCATACTGAATGCATTTACTGATTGGAAAACTACCACTTTTCGGTGGGAAACAAACCCGAAAGGCTTAAACTAAAATAGCTTCGACCCGAATAAAAGTAATTTGTGGCCATTGCCAGAGGTTATTTAGTATTCTTTTTTATTGTTTATTTGCCAAAAATAAACCTTCTTACATTGTTACATTTTTATTTGTGGGCTTTTTTGACTCTCTTTTATCTTAATTACATTATATTCTTTACTTAAGTAAAGTCAACGGCCAAAAATCAATTAAATGCAAAAAATTACGCTTTTTATTTTTACAGGCATCACATGTATGATATAATTAACATTTATAGAAAAAGTTAAAATTTATTTCGTAAATATACATAATAACTGGCTTTTAATAAGTTATAGACTAGTTATTTCGCTATCGGGAACGTTGGCTCCATTAGAACCATTGGCACCATTGCGCTCCAGCTCAACAGAGTTCTTTTGCTCCTTTGCCTTGCGGCGACGCAACAGGAAGTAGCACAGCCTTTAATTTACAATTGTATTACAAAAAAATCGAAATTATTAAATAAATAATGGATACTTACACAAAGACCAAGACATTGGGGATATAAAAGATTTCGCCAAACAGCCAAATGGCCCCTGGGAATGAGTCTACAGTGCTTTTGTAGATTTCACTGAAAATTGGAGGAAAAATGAACTGGGCAATAGGCTCACTGATGCCAAAGATCGAGTACATTTTACCTGAAAGTTAAGTAATTAAATAAATATTTATAAATATCCTTAAACAGAAAACTGTATAAAGTATCCACTTACTCAATTCGTCGCCATCGACAATGCTGGATCCAATGGTTTTTATGGCAATAACTCGTAAGCTGACAAACATATCCACCACTCCGGCTACATAAAATGATGAAGTGGTGCTAGCAAAAGCCTGAAAAATTATACACATTATTATTACAGAATTATGAAGTTTAAAATAAAACTTACAAACAGAACACGGGAGCAGACAATGGACAAGGCAGACAGAATTCCGATCATGGAATCGGAAACCTTTAGTAGTTTACTAAGAATGGCGGTACCAATGAAGGTGCCAACCAGAGCCGCTCCACTGGACAAGGTTAGATAGATACTGAAGTCGTTGCCGTTCCAGGCCAGCTTCTTAAGGGTGAATCTGTACCAGTAATCGTTCTCTCCGGATACGGGACCCACGGTCAAGAAGTAGGCACACAAAAGCAGGATGAGCAGAAGGCGTCCATTGTTGGGTCGTTTTACAATGGGGAAGCGGATGCAGTCCAAGACCAATGTGGGATCAAAAAATTCCTTGAAAAGGGACTTTTTCGGTGGCACAACCTCGACTTTTGGTTCCATTTGTGGGGTCAGTTGGAAGTTTACATTCTTGTTGGCCTGCAACTCGTCCAGATTTGTGGTCTCATAAGCCATATTCTCGGCACCCTGCTTGGGCGGCAAGGTCGAGGGCAGTGGAGGAGGCTCATTGGACTGAGAGTCTACCGATTTGGGTGTGGACTTGACCTCTTTCACAAAGAAGATAATGTAGGTTATAGCAATGATTTGGAATACAATTGCAGAGGCAAATGACCCTAAAAAGATAATGTTGTTTAATAAAAATATTTTAACCGAAATCCATCATACTCACAGGTGTATCCCAAGGTACTAAACAGTAAACCACTTATCGGTTGCCCTATGAAGGGAACTCCAGTGACAAACATGGCAAAGATTCCAAAACGAAATACACGGTCCTCCTCCGGAGTGGCTATGGTGATGTAACTATAAATGGCCATCAAACAGAAGGTTAATCCACCAAAGAGGGCAGGCACAATAGCCTCACAATAGGCTCCAAACTCCATGGGTAATGAGTCGAAAAATATCGATGAGATGATCTGACCTAAAGTATTTATTTGTTAAAATTTATGTTTATTTCGAGAAAGATAATTATAATATTCACATGTAAAGGACAAAGCCTCGCCCACAATTGGCAGAATCATGCAGGGCTTTCTTTTGTTGTAGCGATCCGCCCATCCTCCAGCAAAAAGAAGGACAATCAACGGGAAAATAGCAGCTAAAAAAAAAAATAATACAAATATTAGATAATTTCATTTACTTCATGATGAATTTAGCAGAACAGCTCTAAAAATAAATTATGTAAAGTTCATTTGAAAACTGGTATTTCATTAATAAACTATAACTATAAGAGTACAAAGTATATTAAAAAACAAAATATTAAAACATAAATCCATTACCATAATCTTTTAGCAAAGTGAGAATTATATTTCGTTAAGCGTAAATTTATTTAGCTGCATTTAAGAGAGCTTCATTGTTTTTGTTTATAATTAAACACGCTAATCGAGTTTTAAGACTTCGTCAAACCGACTTTATTAAAAATGCATAGATGTTTTTGCGAAAAAAATAACTTGTTCTTCGGGCGAGAACTTGTTATCATTGTCAAATAAAAAGAGGATTTTTTTTTCACTTAATAGAACTCTTATAAGTTAAAAATGGATAAAAATTCTTGTCATGTAATGTATGACATTATGCGTCAATTATTTGAAGGCTCAATTATCAAACTGTGATGCAATGCATTTTAATAAACTTATTGCATAAGTAATTAGACATGGAATGCTTGAAACCGGAATTCTGCAAAGCATCTTCATAAATGTGTCGAATTCAGATGACGCTTTTACTGGATTTGGAATCTTAATTTATTATCTATGGCTTGGATGGATTTCTCGCCTTGGCAATGACAATGGCAGTGAACCCACGAAAGTCGCTCGAGACGAATCCGATGTAAAGAACAGGTTTGAGGCTATTACGACTAGGCTAAGGCCTTTAGTTGCGGCTCCAAATTAATCACCCGGCACCATGTATAATGGGGGAATTTCGTTGGCTTCTAAAGACATAAGTTCGAGCCAGCGATCATGAGTGAATCAATTAAAGAAGGTAATTAGATGTTAGGATAACTGCTAATTTCCGACGACATCCATCAAAAGACATTGATTCTGAGCAAACAAAAAATTACACCGTGAAAAAGTAATAATTTATAACAAATATATTTTACGCGTAGAAGCATGAAAACTTTAAACTTTTAAAATACTGAAAGTGGTGCATAAATTTAATTTAAAAACTAGTCAGAATAATTAACACATAAATCAAGTTTTAAGTTAGTTTGGAAATAGTTCTTCCTTATGCTTTCAACTTAATAGTAATAGTAAATAGTAATAGTATGACATTTTAAAAAACAATATTTTATTTTTGAATAAATAAAAATATTTTCAAAGTAAGAAAGTAAAACTTTAATTTTTTTAAGTTCATTGAATATTTAAGAAACAAGTATCACTCTTTTTGGAGTGTACGCATGCCTCAGATCCCATGGGTTCGGCAAGACTTAATATGCAGAGGAGTTAATATCCAAAAAGAATTCGAGTTTAATTTAAGCACAAACCTGAAATTTAAGCAATGCTAATGCCAAACACCAAACGCGTATATTTAATGAACGACTCGTGTTATTTATACTTATATGATTTATATGACTCTACCCATCGGAGCTCGTTTTCCGGAGACATCTGCTGCTAGGATCTGGGCCTCCAGTTCCGCCTTGCAGACCGTGTAGTTGAATCCCGTGGCTCCGATCACAAGGTCGGCCAAATCCGGAGTGGCCCCCTGGGTGGTGTTGGCGAAATCAAAGTCGTCGCACTCGATTCCCACCTCCGATTTATCCAGCATAGTGTCACAGACCACCTTATTGTAACCCAGATTCACCCGGCAAGCTTTGTCTAAGGGAAAATTCTGCATAGCCACCGCATTGAAAACCGATGCCATAAAGTAGAAAAAGAAGAAGGGCTCGATCACCAGGTAGTGGCGATAGCGCCACAGCTTCTGGAAGTAATTAAGCTTGGGTTCCGGATTCTGGTCCGTCCCGTTTCCAGCTGCATCTTGCGACCTTGGCTTTGCCATTTTATTGCCTTTTTTTATAATTGTATTATTTTTTTTTATTGAGGCGTATTCTTAACACATCTCAGCGATTTGATCAACACGTCGCGCCGAGTTCTAAGCTCAAACTAAACTTGGTGGCGGTTCCGGAGCCGGCTAGGTCCGATCAAATGGCAAAAAGCGAACCGCTTGATACGCACAAGAAACTTGTTCAATCATTTCTTCGTCTCTTTGGGGGTTTTGTTTTTGTCAGCTTCGATTAGCTTAGAACAATGATAAATATGCGAAAATGTCATTGGGTCTCGTACTCAGGAATTTGTTTGCGTTCCTACGAATTTCTTCTCCTGCTCTGTGATAACTACAGTATATATTCAACAGTAGTTTCGCAGAATAATATGTACAATTATATAATGCATTATTAAATTAATATCGAATTATTTTCGGTTAATCGTAGTATAGTTTTATTTTAAAAATTATAAGAATATATTTAGCCGGATTGGGTAGTTTCTCTCTAAACAAAAATCTACTGTAATTCATTGATTCATTTGCAACTGCTGGCCGGTTGTTGTTGCATTGAGAAGCAATCAAGTATTGAGCACTAACAGTTGAGACATTTTTGCGGCTCAATGCCAAACGTGAACAGAGAATCTCTCACACCTCAGGAAATACTATATGAGCATCATATTACAAATTGCCTTTACATCGATTTGTTTACTTTCTGGTTCCAATTAACTGCTGGGTGTAGATGAATTTTTTTCTAAAACCAAAAATATTGTGTAAATGAATTTATTTTTATTGGTTGCCAGATTTACAGGTATTCATACAGCTTAAAGGCTTCACCAAATATCTTTTTAGCCGTTTTTCCTGGATTTTGTTTTATCATTGAGGGTTAGGGCTAAGTTAGCTACAACTATATGGGACAAGGTTACTGGAATCTACTCGGTCCAGCGGTGAGTGCAGTTCTGATTAGTGCACACATAGTACAGCCTCATCTCCTCCTCAGCGCGTCGTGTTTGTGCCTGGAAGAAGACCGCCTCGCGATGGGAACACTTCGGGCAAGCGTGGTCTTCAGTTCGAGGCAGCGTGGGATCCGATATCACATCCGGCACAATATGCGTCAGTTCGTCGATTTCGTGCATGATTTTGTTCACGTAGATGCAGTTTGAGTCCGCCTCCTGTTTGTAGTCACAGTTCCTGCATGCGTAGAGCAGGATTTTATTATCTTTGTCCTCTTTGGGGTACAGCATGTTGTTGCACTCCTGACAGAAGCGAATGCCAACGAATCCGGGTCCTTCCGTGTGAGCGGCGTCAAAGGTTGCGGTCATGGTGGCTACATACAACAAACATTCACCATTAATTAACGTAATAATTAACGTAAATTTGGAATATTTACCTGATTTTGCGAAAGCGGCGTAAACAAATGAAATGTCAAGCAGTGTTGGAAAGCGACCTTCCAAAAGTTAGTGTTTTCTAACACTCTTACTTAGTATTTTTGTGGTATATTTTGACGATGTGGCAACTTAAGAAACCAAAACAAAAATATCAAAACAACACTCAGCACGTTGTTATTGATCGTGTTCGGAACTGAGAAAATGGAGATCCGCAATAACAATCCTGGTGCCGTTCAATACGGAAACTTTATGAATTATTATCAGTTTAATTCAGCAACAGAACGTGTGAAACTATTACCGGATAAGGACGTTTGGCTAAAGGATGGGGATTCGTTGGATGAAAAGCCCTATCTAGTCTTGGATGTGGGATGCAACAGCGGAGTTTTCACCCAGCTCCTGCACAAATATTTGGAGGAGTTCTTGCAAAGATCTGTGAGGATCCTTGGAGTGGACATAGACGAGCGCCTGATTCAACGCGCCGTGGAAGGGAATGAACTTCCTGAAAGTATTAGTTACTCATGCGTGGATGTTTTGGACGAGACTGCTTTCGAGCAGGTCCCACAGTACTTAGAGAAGTTTAATCGACAAAAGTTCGATGCTGTTTGTTGCTACTCTATCACAATGTGGATACACCTAAACCACCATGATGAGGGTCTGCAACTCTTTCTTCGGAAAATGTCCTTTCTGGCTGAGCTATTAGTTATAGAGCCTCAACCGTGGAAATGCTATCAAACCGCTGAGAGAAGGCTTAAACGCACAGGTGAAGTGTTTCCCCTGTTTTTGGAGCTGAAGTGGCGCTCAGACGTGGAAAAGCAGATTGAGAAATACTGTGAAGAGACTTTGAAGAGAAGAAAAATATTTGAGTCCACACCTACCAAGTGGCAGAGAAGGATCTGCTTTTATAGATAATGTGGAATAGTTTTAGATTAATATTTATATTTAGTGATAAAAAAAAATAAATGACATTTGTAAATAAAAGAGTTGGAAATATATATTTTCAAAATTTTGAATATTCCTATCACAAACTATAGATGCACCACAGATGGCGCTGCGAATTAAGTTTTGTGTTGGGTCACACTATTCCGATGATCGATGTCATCTTATCGACATTTATCGAAGCGATCCCACCTTTAAAAGAGAGGCTGCCAGTGTCGTGTTGGAATTTTAAAGCATAAAATTAGGTAAATTTAATTGTTTTGCTTGGTTACTGAATTGTAAACATAAACACGTCCGTACTACTTAAGTAGCCAGTGTTTCTATGAATGTTTGGATTCTTTGCCTGTTTTGTGCGACCACCTGTGGTGACTAGGCAAATCGGGTTGGTAGCGATCACCCGAGAAGCGAACAAGCGAAAAAGATAAGAAAAAGTGAAATTAGAAGGGAATTGGTCTGTGGGCGCATCCTGCGGCTGCAGAAAAAATAGTGTAAACATATTGTAAAAGTATGCAACATATTCCCAAGTGTGTCGGAATTAATTTCAACCCTTAAATAAGTTTTTTCGCTGCTAGAGAGTTTTCTATGCGTCAACGAGATCACCCACTCGCTGCCGCCATTTTTCTCACGGAACTGTTTTTAGGCGTTGCTGACGCTGGCAAAATCAAATTTTTAATAAGTCACGTGCCTAAAAGTAGGCTATTCCAGGGTTCAGTGATCCTTGAAATACATATATCCAGTTCAGAATCAATATATTTATTGCCTTTGACCTGTAGGTACCAACGGGCACCATGAGCGCCGCAAAGGAGGGTAAGGAGAAAAAGTCGGCTCCCACTGTGGTGAAAATCGTGGAGGTGGAGTCGGTTTCGCCGCCAAAGGACAAACGACCTACCCGCATAAAGCTCCTGAACGATGTCCCAGCAACTTCTCCCCAAACGTCTCCCACAAAGACGGATAAACGCAGTGGCGCTAAAGGATCACGCATTAAAATACTTAACGAGGATGTTTTGGTCACGCCGAAAATAGAGAAGAGGCGATCCACCAAGCCCAGCAGTCCCGGGTCCTCCTCCACCACCTCCACTGTGAAGATCCTTAACGAAAAGAGGACAGTGCCAGCCGAGGACACTGCACTTGAAACTGCCAAGATTAAAATTTCTCCTCCCAAGAGAAACAAGATGGACCATTATGTATTGCAGGCTGTGAAAGTAGAAAACAGCAAGTCTGCCAGCCAATCTACACCTGGCGCTACCGGGGAAGACGATGATACCATTGCCTTTATACTGGGGGATGACGATGAGGTGGTACCCGCATCCATAAGCCGTTCGAATGGACAGGAGATATTGGTGACAGAAGAGGAGGAGGAGGAAGAGGAAGACTTGGACGAAGAAGGCGATTCACCTGGGGGAAGTAACCAGAATTCCGGCCATAAAGCCATCAAGGAGATCGTGGAGCACGTGTGTGGCAAGTGCTACAAAACCTTTCGCAGGCTAATGAGCCTAAAGAAGCACTTGGAGTTCTGCCGCTACGACAGCGGTTATCATCTGCGCAAAGCCGAAATGCTCAAGAATTTGGAGAAAATCGAAAAGGACGCGATTGTCTTGGAAAAGAAAGACATTTGTTTTTGTTGCTGTGAAAGCTACGATACTTTTCACGTAAGTATATTCGTACAGCATGTTTCTTTATCAAGATACTAATGAAATTTATTTAACAGCTGGGCCACATCAACTGCCCCGACTGCCCAAAATCGTTTAAGACTCAGACCAGCTACGAGCGACACATTTTCATCACTCACTCGGAGTTTAGCGATTTTCCATGCTCTATTTGTAATGCGAACCTGCGCAGCGAGGCTTTGTTGAAGTTGCACGAGGAGCAGCACAAGTCACGGGGCAAGCCGTACGCCTGCAAGATCTGCGGCAAGGATTTCACGCGCTCCTATCATCTCAAGCGCCACCAAAAGTATTCTTCCTGCTCAGCAAACGAAAACGACACAATGAGCTGCAAGGTGTGCGATCGGGTCTTCTACCGATTGGATAATTTACGATCGCACTTAAAGCACCATCTTGGAACTCAGGTGGTTAAGAAACCTGAATACATGTGTCACGTTTGCAAAAATTGTTTCTACAGTCTCTCAACGCTCAAGTATGTACTTTGTTCCTTTGATGCCAAATAACCAAGAACCCCAAACTTAAAATATATCTTTTTAGCATTCATATCCGTACACATACTGGCGAAAAACCATTTGATTGTGATTTGTGCGACAAAAAATTCTCCGCTTTGGTAGCTCTCAAGAAGCATCGGCGCTATCATACTGGAGAAAAACCCTACAGCTGCACTGTGGTATGTTTTAAATCCTCGAGACATATTTTAGACAAATTTATTTAGCAATTTCTGTATCCTTGCAGTGCAACCAAGCCTTTGCTGTCAAGGAAGTGCTTAATCGTCACATGAAACGGCACACTGGAGAAAGACCTCACAAGTGTGAAGAATGTGGCAAGAGCTTCATCCAGGCCACCCAACTGCGAACTCATTCCAAAACTCACATTCGTCCCTACGGCTGCGATATGTGCGAAGAGAAGTTTAAGACCGAGAAACAGTAAGATGAATAATGATTTCCAAAAGAAAATCTATATACCTAATAAATCTATCCCCTTTCTTAGACTCGAACGACACGTAAAAGAACATTCTCGCCAAAAGCGCGCCGTATTCTCTTGCACTGAATGCAAGCGTACTTTCCGCAACACAGCCCAGCTTAAGCAGCACATGGATGCCGGTGACCACTCTGGTAAGATACTCTGTTATTTATTGAAATCAATCGATTTAATATTCATATACCCCTCAGAAAAAGCGGCTGAAAAACCACAGCGTGCCAAACGAGCCTCCACAAAGGTGTTGGAGCGCACCGATTGCGCCATTTGCGATAAAAACTTCGACAGTAGCGAAACCTTACGCAAGCATATTCGTTCTGTCCATGAGTGCGATCCGGATGACATATTTGGCATTAAACCGCCTTCTGCCAAGCGCGCCAAAACCGCCAAGATTACAAAGATTGATGAAGAGGAGGAGGAAGAGGTGGTACCAGTGGCACTGAATGCATCATCAGGTTCGTTGATATCCAGCCAAACAGACGACAATGGTGTAGTGGTGCGAGAATTTTTGGTGGATGAAGGCGATGGCACTGCCCAGACTATTACTTTGGAAAACGAAACCTATACCATTCTGCCATTAGATGGAGATATTGCGGCTGAGCAAATCACAGATGAAGATGTCAAAGTTGAAGGACAAAAGTCGCCGCCAAAGAAGTCGCTAGTTGTTAAGAACGAGAAGCGAAAGTCCTTGGGTGCAAGTTTGGCTGCAGCGATTGCCGATAACATCGAAGTACCGGCAATCGAAGAAGACTTTGATGGCGAAGTATTGACCGAAGAAGATCTAAAACTAAAAGAAAACATTGCTAAGCTTATAGACATGCTGGTGGATCCGCCGATTCTGAAGAAATACGGCTGGCCTAACGCTCCGGAGGAAATGGTGCTCTGCAAGGTGATAGAGAATTGCGGCCACGATCTGAACAAAGGCGGCGAAAACTACGCGGAGCTGGACTACGGCAGCAGGATGAGGGAGTACTGCAAACTATTGTTCACGGTTGTCATTCACAACGATTCTATCAAGTCCCTGCTCAACAACTTTCCCATTGACGATGTCATTGAATATGTTCTGGGGGATGAGGACCAAGACGAGGAAGGAGGTGACAAAGAAAAGGAGGTGGAAGGAAAAACTCGTTCCAAAACTGCTTCATCAAAGAAGGAAGACGGAAAGGTTTTAAAAGCATGACGGAGTATGAATATTATTAGTTTTCCGCATTACGCTGATCAAGTTTCGATTGGCATCTGACTAGGCATCATTATATTCAAGTTTAATTTTTTTCTAATTGACTCAACATTTTTTATAAAAATAACTTATGCATGTTGGTTTTGGTTTAAACACTAAGTGACCTTAAAAGAGAAACTTTGCTACTGTTATTTAATATATCGTTATCTGAAACCTATTTCCAAATTTATCACGCATCCAAAAAGAAACCCAACCAACATGTTGAATATCGAAGATATTTTGATATTATATACATTTATATTTACTGAATTAAAAAATTTACCCCACGCAATGTATGCATGGATTATTTTTTATAAAGCTTATTAAATGTACAAGAAACCAATCTATAATTATATTTTTAAATGGGTTTTCATTGTTCCATCAGCATTTTAAGGATACGGGCATTGTTTTGCTGGATCCTGTGACGGCTCTCGTCTATTAACTCTTCGTATTCGGCAATACTGGCCATGATTTGCTGGAGCTGGTGCTTAAGGGGCTCTGTCGCGGATGCCGTGAGACTCTTTTCCTTTTTTAGTTCCGTGGATGCTTGATTGTATGTGTCCCGCCACATGGTCAGCTCCAGTTGCATCGCATCTACGTCTTCCGGCACAAAGTCCAGTAGTTTTCCCATCGGATTAATGGCCTTTGTGAGGCTCTGGATGGAGTCGCGGAGATCGTTTACCTGGCGAGCGGAACTTTGTCGTGTGGTGGAACTCTGGGGTGGTTCTATCTCGGGATTTTGGTGAACCAACTCCTTCTGGGTCTCAAGGATTTGCTGGACCAGTCGCCCCTGGGCGTCAAGTTGTCCTTCTAGAAGGGCTTCCTCCTGCGGCTTCCCTTCGATAATATCATGCGAGTTGGCGTCTTCTATGATCACAAGGTTTTCCCCATCGTCATCCAGGTCGCCGAAGGTTTCCAGCTTCACATTAATGCCAGACATCTTGACCTGGTCGTTGGGTTGAAGGACAATCTCCACATTGCGTCGTCGGGGTGCTCCAGGACGAGCAGAAGCGGGTCGTGCCGATGGTGGTCTAAGTGAAGTTCTGGGTCTCTGAGTTGAATCTTTCGAGTTCTCCCGGGAAAGAGGAATTTCTCTTTTAACATCATTGTTGCCATTGTTGTTCTTGGAGTCGGAAGGAGTCGGACTTGGCTCTATTGGTGCTGGCACAGTTGGTTCCGGCTGAACCACTGGCTGATTATTCTCATTGCCATTTGTATCGGCTTGCCTTTGACTGCCGCTGGACCGACGGCTCTTGGTGGAGGAGGCAGAGCTGCGGCGTTGTGCAGAGGATTTACGGCTTTCGGGCTCAGCAGGTGGAGCAAGGGATGCAGGTTCTGGTAACTGCACGGGTTCCTCCACGGCCTCCTTGGTAGTTTTTAAAGGAGATTGCTCTTTATTTGTTACTTCCCCCGGTGGATTAATTGGTGCTTCAGGAGCAGTTTTATTGATGACTTTTTCCTCCTCTGGCGGTATGGATATGCTGGGGTTTTCAGTAGATGTTTCCTTCTTAACTTTTGCCTTTTGCTTGACGGGGGATGGTGTCTTTTGCTTCGAACTCTGGCGGCTAAGCTTTGGGTCACTGCCTCCAGCTCCACTCTTGGCTTTCTTTTGGGCCGCCTTCTCCGTAGGCGAGGATCGGGAGGTTTGCTCCGTTGCCTTACGCAGCTTTTGCTCCTGCGGAGATATACGTTTTTCCTTAGGCTTCTTTGCACCCTCCTCCTTGCCAGCCGGAGATGGATTTTTGCTTGACTGTTCCTTCGACTTTGAGGGTTTCCCTGGTTTACTATGAGAACCTACAACCTGATCTACGGCACTTTTCCAATCCAGGTTCTTTTCCGCGACACTGGCCATCGCTTGAAGTAATTCATTGGTGAGCTCCGGTTCCTGGCCAGCCACTATTTTAGAGGTGCGGACTTTCAGTTCCAGTTTAGTGGACAGTTCTGTGGGAAATCAAACAGATGTTAATACTATAATTTGTTCCGACAGGCATCCAAAGAAAAAAACTCACTGACGACATCGATCATCTTCTGAAGGAACCTTATTTTGTCCTCCCTATCGGATATATTCTCAAACTGCTGCTCCTCCGGCAAGTAAAGGCCTTCAAACCTGCCCGTTTGTTTGATGAACTACAGAAAAAGGAGTCTCATTTTGGGGTCTCAGGGGTGGATTTTTAAGAGGCACCACTTACATTGTTAAAAACGTCCATTAAGAACCGAAATGGAGGCTTCTTCAGTAGCTTCTCGGTGAGAGGAGGCTTTTTGATGAATTTCCCCAGCACCTGCTGGGTCACCTGAATAGTTGCATCCAAATTTTGGTCCGCCATATTCGAGTTCCTTCTATTTACTGATATAATGAAATAGTTTCTATTTGTTTTGCGCCCTGCCTGGTGGTTGAGTTACCTTGGCAACCGGCTAGACCTGACTTTTTTGACCAAAAAGTTGTAATTGGGTCAAGGATTGTACATAAGTTTATTTCGTAAAATATAAAAATTTTTAAAATTAAAACAACTTTAATTTCGTTCCAACACAATTCTCATTTTATTTTTAAAAAACATTCTCACATACATGACTTGGCTCGATATGAGTGGTTTCTGGGATAGTACTCTTTTGTGTGATGGTTTTAACAATTGTGGTTTTGTGGTTACAACATAGTTATTCTCAAATGTTGTTTAATACTTTGGAAGGGTAACAAATAAATTAGAAATACACGTCAACAATTGGCCAATTTCGTGTTAGCGGTCAGGGCAGCAGTCCAGTGAATTGTTGTGTTGCTAGCGACTATATACAATTAAGATTAATAATTCTCATAACTAAATTATACACAATGCGATTAAAGCTAGAGTCGTACAAAAAGTAAACATAATGTTGGGCAGGAGGGGCGGACAGAAGGACATGAGCTTCTGGATCGGTTGGATCTTGCAAGCAAATCGTCGGCAATTATATATAAGGCTGACACAAGATCAACAGAAGGGGGAACTGGGCTGCCTTGTCATCGTTCTACTGGTTTACATATATAATATATTGTATAGCGCAGCGCTTAGTTTAGGAATTAGGCTTTAGTTTACGTTTTAGCTCAGTTACAGTTACGTTTTATCGTATAGGTAAGGTATCGCATACGTGTCGATTTAGATATCATTACTTTTATATATATTTTACATTAAGAGTGCAACATGCAAGTCTCCGATGCGCAGCAATTAAAAACAACTTGTAAAATTAACTCTCGCAACGTAATTAGGCTAGATCGCGTGCTACAATTCAAAGAAGTCGTCCTGCTGCTTTTCCAGTCGCTTCAGCGAGTTCTGCACCCGGCGCGTCTGCGTCGTGTTAAGAAGGTGCGCCGTATCTGAATTGGAGGTTCCGCTTCCGTTCGAACTAAGCCGCTGGAACTGCGCCGGACGGTCGTTGTTGTTGGTCTTGTACGAGTTGTTCAGCGGGTGGCGGCGCTGCGGAAAAATATCTGCGCTAGCACTGATGCAAATGTCAGCGTCGCTCTGGCTGGTAACCAAACTATAGGCGATAAAGAATATTCATTATAAACCGAGTTTAAGCTTAAGACATTTTGGATTACTTACTCTTTAGAGCGCTCTACATATTTCCGCGACTCGGATATGGTGTTGTCTATCTTGTTGAGGAAGTCATTCATGCACTTCCGATTCTCCTCCTCGGGCGTCATGGCCGCCACTGAGTCCAGGCTCTTGCTCTGCTTTCCGTTGCAGCCACCTTGGCTGTTTATCATGGCAGGATCCTCATCTCCAGCCTGCACTACCAGCAGCTCCCCAGCAATGGAGTACGGCCGTTGATTCTGCTGGCTGCCGCTGGAACGGGGTCCTGGACCTCCTGAGGAGCTGCCGCTGGTGTTGCAACTGCTGCTGCTCCCGCTGTTGCTGTTTTCGCTACTGCTGTTCCCACTGCTATTGTAAATGTTGGCTGCCTGACTCAGATTGTTGGCGTTGTTGTGCGCCTCCCGTTGTCCGTTCGAGTCCGGAGTGCCGGGCGGTGTGGCCAAAACGGCGTCGAAGGCTGTCAGCGGATCACTGCCCACCTGGGGATAATACGGTGAGTTCTTCTCCACCGGCACCAGCAGAAACTGACGCAAGAACAGGCTGTCCGAGGCGAAGAGCCGGTTGGCGCGGCGTATTTGCTCTGTCTGAAATGCAATACATGTATATTAGTCGAGGAGCTCATCAATTACAACAATTGCATCGCTGACATCTGATTGATGGATGATTGATCGATGGACGGGTGTAGATGGATAAGTTTCCCGCATATGGCCAATCAGGTCAAGTGGCATGCAGTGATTTTTGGTAAAAGTGAGATTATTTTTAAATCAATTGTCATTAAATTAAGCCCGTTAGATTATAAGGATTAGATATTCTAAGGGTCATTAAAAATGACAAATATTTATATGGATGATATTATATGGATGACTGACTTTAATAGTAGTATTTCAAAACAGTCCTATCCTATATGCACATGTTTATTAAGGCACCTTATCACCTTGTGGGGTCCAAAAAATCGATTTTTTTTTTTTGTCTTATCGTGTAGATATATGTTCCAAAAATGTGCTGTAAAAGTTTCAGATCGAAATCTGAAAAATTTCGAAAGTTATAGCCCGTTACATAGAGCACTGTCGAGCACCTGCCGAGCGATATTTGTTCATTTCTTTTTGAAGCCAAAACTTTAAACGCGTTTTTCTCAGAACCATGTTTTTGGACCTTACGTGCAGGATTAAAGACGCTACAATCAACCAATCGTCACCAAATTTTTTTAAAAATGTTCCTTAGGGTTTTTTCTAACAAATGACCCGTGACCAGCCAAAAATATTGGAAATTGTTTATTTAAAAAAATAATCAGTACAGAAAAAAATGCGAAAATTGACATTTTTTTTTCAAAACCTCATAACTTTTGGAATTTTGATTTTTTTTTCATGATAGAGGGTCATTTGATAGATGATACGATACTAATTAAGAATGTGTTCGGTTTTTTTGTTTCAGATCACGGGTTCTCAGCCAATCCTGCACGGGAGCAAAATGCATGCCGCCACCAATGGGCGCCCCCTCCCCCCCCTTTTTGGATTTTTTCAAGTTCAAAATTTGTATTCTTTGAATAAATATATGTTTATATTCTGACGAAAATTTCAGCGCTGTATCTTTAACCGTTTTCTCAAAAAAAATTCCTAAAAAAAGAGCACTTTTTGACCCCACAAGGTGATAAGGTGCCTTAAGCAAACTAGAACCTACACATTGAAATTAAGAAAAAAAATTAAAATTCGAGGGGTTGAGCCCATCTAAAGTCGTTAAACTTAATCTGGAATTTAGACAAATATTAGCCCGGTGCTAACTGAGCATTCGAGTTCCCTTTGTGGACATAAATCATATGCAGTAATCTGTCAAGATGCCGGAGAGTGAATCTAAACATGGGCCTGCAGTGATTTCTTGATAAGCTGATAAACATCTAGCCACTAGCTGCCAGGTACTCCAGACGAACCGTCCCTTGGCACATGTCGTTATCTTATATTTGCCAAAGTCACTAGGCACGACTTATCACATCCCCCCGCCTCTGGTGCAAAGGTGTGGGCACGGTCGTAAATTCCAAGAACGAACAGAATTGGGTGACCGGAGTGAAGCGGTGGTGGTCGGCAGCAGTGTTGCCCGGGGCAACATTGCGATTATTGAATCGATATATTCAAATCCCTGGGAGTTGACATTTAAATTTTAAAGGGCTCGCGTGACGACTGTGGCACTAGTGTAGCTTCCCTTGGAAGAAATCAATCCAAATGGCGGTTAATGGTTTCAAAGGGACTCATGGGTATAAGAAGATTTAGACATGACTGTAATTGCCTTTAAAAGAGGAGGTAGCCCTTGAGTGACACAAATCATCTTACTAATAAGCCAAGTTTAAAATCAATAGATTATTAAATTGAGGAGATACCTTTTAGAGGGGTTCTAATATATAGAAATAGTGATTAATATTTTTAAATTAACAGTTTTGTTGTAGTGATTGGGCAAGAGATGTTCGAGATTCAAGGGGTCTTAGGTTGCACCCTTCATATTACTATGTCAGCTGCACTATTGGAGCTTCACCTCCATGACGCAGTGATTATTTCCCTGACCCCCAACTCACCGTGCATCCGTACTTGAGGGCGATGCCCTGAAGAGTGTCCGTCTTCTCGACAATATGCTGGATGAGGGTCTCGTTGTTCCGCAGGCTGTTGCAGCAGGTGCTTCCGTACCGCTTCAGGGTGCGCGAGGAGTCGCGAATTGATTGCTTCTCGTTGAACATGAATTCCGTGTCATCCATATCAGGTACGATCTCTTGAAACTGCAATGAAATGCAAGCAACAGGGTGGAATTTATTAGACAACAGTTTATTTAATCTTCGAGATACAATTTATTAGTGATGTCATGGCCAGCACGTCAGCCAACAAACACACACACGTACAGCCACCCCCTTTACAAGATACATATATGTACGTAATAACAGCTGACAGAATGAATCTTTTCTGGTTTGACTAACTTATGGCCCACTAATTTCTATTCATTTTGAACTCTAATTAAAAGTGAAACTCACCCATCACACCTCCACTTGGCGGTGGTCGAACTGCAACTGTTACTTGAACAGATACTAGATACTCTGCACTCACATCCACCCACCACCTCCCACCGCGCTCAGGGGCATCCACAACTTCGGGTCCGACTGACAAATGGATTTTACGGATTTAGTGGATTTAACGGATGCAAAGGTAGCGCCCCCTAGATGCAGATAAACAGATTTTACTGGAAGTATTGCCAACCGAAATTATGGTGTGGGATAGGGATTGTCAACAAAAAGTGTTGTGGGAAACCAATAAAAAATAAAAGAAAAACAGACACTGATAACTGATTTCCGCACTTTGCTTTCTAGTAACACGCCTTTACCTTTCACAGCCACAATTGGCTCTACTTTCGTTAAATTAGTGGAATTTTTTCCACACAAGGCTTGACTTTCCGTTTACTACGTGTTTACAGATTCGAGGTAGTGATGAAAAACGCTCAGAAAAGTGATGGAAAACTCCAAGCAGGTAGGGAAGTGTGGCAAAATGCTACAGCAAATATTACGGGCGGGTTTTTTGAATTTTGTTAAATTATTTTAGATTGTTTTCTGTCTTTTGTTTTTTATACAAAAACCAGTTTAATACAATTATTACGTAAAAGATAAAGATTTTGTTGTCATTCTTTGTATTACCTTTTAGATTAACTACAATAAAAATGTGGCTTTAGAAAACCGAAAAAGATCAATACATTTTATTTAAATTTTACATTAATATCAAAACAAGGCCAGTCATAATAATAATTATAGAATAATAATTAATGAATACTTAGCAAACTAAAATTTTGTCACAAAAAAATCAGATTTAGAGAAAAATCTGAAACAACAACTTTATATGAATGAACCATAACTTAATAATTAAATTAGTATAATTCACATACATATAAACGGGTTTATTTAGTAAAAAATTGTAACCTTTAAAGATTTCATTCAGCAATACCACCCTGTGACATGGCGCGCTTTTTAAATCACACATGCAGCTGGCTTTTTTATTTGCCTTTGTCTCAAACATTAGACGTTGCTAATTTCCCAGTTTTTAGTTGTTTCACCAGCAGCGGTGGATAATTTTTTCACGTGATCGACTGCGGTCGTCTACGTAAACGTCTTTTAATGTATTGTATATATTTAGCCAAGTTCGAACCTGTTTGAACAAAGCAGGTCGTCGCCGAGTTTGTTTTTGTTATTGTTTCTGTTTCAGTTTCAGCTGCTGCAAATATTTAAATTAGTGCCAGAGGTAGTGGTACGGGCGGCATGGACGGTAATTAACATGTGACTTTATTTATTACTGATACCTGAACATTGTGTGCAATAACTGGGCATTATTGCATTGCCGCCGCACAATAACTACCGGCTTCGGCTCCCCGATTATCTCAAGCGGTGAGGACTCTTGGAGAGCACTGGGCCACTGAAGGGAGGAATCCCATTCACCTTCAAAATTATGTTTCTAAATTTTGATACAGATTCACGGAGAATCGATCTACAAATCGATTAAGGTATTTCGCTTAAGAATCCGATGTGTTTTGGCAAAGATATCGCCTTCCAAGATGGTCCCTTTGATCATCCCATGCATTTTCGGGAATTCATGAAGGGAACCCCAGAAAATTTGACAAAAAATCTAAAAAAAATTATGTTCCCAGATTTTGATACAGATTCACGGAGAATCGATCTACAAATCGATTAAGGTATTTCGCTTAAGAATCCGATGTGTTTTGGCAAAGATATCGCCTTCCAAGATGGTCCCTTTGATCATCCCATGCATTTTCGGGAATTCATGAAGGAAACCCCAGAAAATTTGACAAAAAATCTAAAAAAAATTATGTTTCCAGGTTTGGATGCAGATTGACGAAGAATCGATCTACAAATCGATTAAGGTATTTCGCTTAAGAATCCGATGTGTTTTGGCAAAGATATCGCCTTCCAAGATGGTCCCTTTGATCATCCCATGCATTTTCGGGAATTCATAAGGAAACCCCAGAAAATTTGACAAAAAATCTAAAAAAAAATTATGTTTCCAGGTTTAGATGCAGATTGACGAAGAATCGATCTACAAATCGTTTAAAGTATTCCGCTTAAGAATCCGATGTGTTTTGGCAAAGATATCGCCTTCCAAGATGGTCCCTTTGATCATCCCATGCATTTCGGGAATTCATGAAGGGAACCCCAGAAAATTTGACAAAAAATCTAAAAAAAATTATGTTCCCAGATTTTGATGCAGATTCACGGAGAATCAATCTACAAATCGTTTAAAGTATTCCGCTTAAGAATCCGATGTGTTTTGGCAAAGATATCGCCTTCCAAGATAGTCCCTTTGACCATCCCATGCATTTTCGGGAATTCATGAAGGAAACCCCAGAAAATTTGACAAAAAATCTAAAAAAAATTATGTTCCCAGATTTTGATACAGATTCACGGAGAATCGATCTACAAATCGTTTAAAGTATTCCGCTTAAGAATTGGATGTGTTTTAGGCTTCAGATACATAGAGCATGTCAGAGCGGTCCTATTGTCCTTCAATGCATTCTTGTGAGTTTTTGAAGGGTGACTATACTTGACTAAGATACTTGTGACATGTACTCCCGTACACCCAAATATTCCATTTTGAACTGATAGAAAACTATTCATTCGTTGGTGTTTTGAATCAGATACTTAGTCAGATAACGGTCATTGACATGCGCATGCCGATGATCAATTGTCAATTATTCAAACCAGTCACGAGCTTGCTGCTGCGCCACTCGTTCTATCTGGGGGAAATTCTCATACGCCGTGTTGTACCAGACGCACAATCACATGGCGTTCGAATCGGAGAAAGCTCTCACAATTGTCTATTCCGAGCACAATAAACAAAACACCCGATTAATGATCTGTACACGAGCTAACTTCGATACAAAGCCATTGTTATTGTGCGAGTTTACTGGCGCAAAAATGAATGTTAAATGTTTTTTGGCACTTTGGCTCTAACAGAAGCCTTTAAACTTTGGCTTAGACGGCGGGATTGAGACATCAGACATGCTCGGATGGCACTCTGTCGTTTTTATTCCATTGTGAGTCACTAATTTGTGGCTGGTGATCATCAAGTTCGTCTCATGGGAAAAATTATCGTATACGTTCAAAGAACTTCCAGTGGAGTGAAGGTCAAGATATTGTTTGGCGGCGTTAGTCTACTTTTAGTTGGTCAATCGACTGGCCAGCTCATAATCAGAGCCATAAATTATCCGGTTAATGTGCTCACACTCTCATAAATTTAATGATATCGTTTGTAATCTATTTCAATTTCAATCTCGCAGCTGTGCGCTACAGTGCGGTTTGTTTTGAAAAAATTTATGGAATTGTGCAAGCGCACGAAAATTATAACCGAAGGCTGAACATAAGTAACTAACAGTTACTTTATGGCAATGCCGCCGGGCCAGGCAAGCTAGGCACTATCTTTAGTATTAATTAAAGCCACCAAAATTGGGAATTGCAAATTGATAAACAGCCAACTACCAAAACAATTTGTATGTATGGTACGTGACTGCGAAAAATAAGAAGCTCCATATATCTATTCAGATGAGACGTGTGTTCGCGTCACTATCTGGAGCACAGGGGTCGATATATGTAGTATACTACAAATATATATGGGAAATACTCTCGACATACAGCCAAGAAAAAACCCAACCAAAGAAAGAGTTCTTGGCAGTAAGACACGTGATGTTTTTTATAATTCTTGGACCTCCAGATATGGCTTATGATTCAGCGTTATAATTGATTTATAAGATGTTTTACGATAACCCAATAAATATTGGTATTATCTAAAATATTACACAAGACAAGTGATAAATCATAGTTTTAAAGTTCAGAGTCTAAACACTTCTCAGAAAATTAAACAGTTTTAATTACAAACACGAGTTCTAAGCCCACAGGAAGGTCAACAAAATTTGCATTTATTGTCAAATCACGAGGAATTACTGAAAAAATCGACCAAGAATTGATTCTTTAATGCCTCCGGGCTTAAGTTGTCCACGACAATATCAGTGGCCTCTTGTATAACCCGCACAGAACATCTAGAGCCCCATAAGTCAAGTGTCCGGGTCTTAAGTGGTCTTTTCATTTAAGTTTATTTATATTCCGCGATAAATTAAATGGATGGGGTCTGGGTACTTCTTGGGCCGTTGTTCTTACCGAGAAAACATGGTAAATGCTTTTAGTTATTGTCTGAGTCAGCGTTTTGAGGACAGTAGTGTTGTTTTAACACCTGTAGTTTGTCCATTTGAAGGGCAAGTGCAGGGTTTACGACAAAAAATAATGGCGTTGCAGGGTTACAAGTAAGTATTTCCCTAATACCTTCAGTATATTATGTGCTACGTGCAAAATGTCTGCAATGCCTTTCAATATACTATATACAAATATTATCAACGTGACATTTTATGATATTCAAAGCATTTAAGAGTTACAAAGCCAAATCGAATGATTTATCAGTTTTGTGGGAACGATCGTAACAGTTTTTACCTCGAAAGGTTTTTGTAATTAAAAATTTTACCCAATACATATAGGGACTCCAAATACGTTGACATTTCTTCAAATCTAAATGACAAGTGGGGAATGGAACCCTTCAGTTGTTGGGGAACGAGTACTATTATCAATCTCTATAAACGGTGTTTTATTTCTTAATAGCTCTGCACTTAACCGTGTGATTGATTGTTCGCTTGTTTTTATAATACCCTTATATACACATATATATACAGGTTCATATGGTATGTACTGCGTGTCATTAAAGAATCTCGGGAGCCATCAAATGACTATCAATATGATTTATTCAATTATTAATTACATACCTACAGCTACTTGAGGTTCTTATTTTTTATTGTTTGCATTGGTTTCTAAAAAGCGGAGAGCCGGCATTGGGGTTTTGTTTTTTTCCACATTACTTTGGATGACAAACGATTGGCTGATAAGATTGTCGCCTTTGTTCCAAAGGTGTTCCGAAGGTGTGCGTAGCCTTCGCTTGTGAAGAATTTATGGTACGATCTAGACTCTACTTTTAACACAAAGTAAATGCACATACTGGGAACAAAAAGCCACTGGTTTTAGGGCCAAAAATAAGTTGATCAGCACGTTCACAGCCCGATAAGACTTCTGTGTAAAAGTCAAGGCTAATAATATCAGCCGATCGATTGTCTCAAAATACCACAGACTGGCTTTTTGTCAAAAGACCGCGTACCGGTCTCATACAAATGCTGACTTATCATTGTTAGTTTAAATATTTTTAAATCTATTTATGCTGATTATGTGTTTCAATGTGTGAATATTGCCAGCTGGTCTCTGCGTCATAATAAGCAATCACGCATATGAATCGTAGAAATTCTGTAGGTTGAAACTCTTTTGAAAGCAATTCGAACCGGTTGCAACCGCTCTATCGGTCTGCGAAGCAAAGCTTAAATTTAGAAAAGCGGTAAT